GATAGAGAGCTAGAAACATCGATGAGAGAGAAACATCAACCAGCTGCCTGTTGCACACCCCCTACTGGGGATGTGCCTGCGACCAAGATACATGCCCTTGACCAGAATCGAACCTGGGACCTTTCAGTCCGCAGGCTGACGCTCTATCCACTGAACCAATGTTTAACAAGTATGATGTGATGTTGGTGTACATGGTCCATGAACCTAATGTTGAGAAACATTGTTCTAGGAACTATAAAGAATTACCACTTCCAATTTAGTAAAGGCTAGTTCAGATCAACCTTTCTGCTGAACATAATGTATTAAACATCTTTTTTTAAAGTATCAAAAGCGAACAGAAAAACTGATAAATGACTGGGATGAGATCCAGAGTGGAAATCCAGAGGGGATGAGCCTGGCACTCTGGACCATTTTGCTTTGGAGTCATGAGCTAATCTGGAAGAGATCATTGACAGGGTGAGCTGTCTTTTTAGCAACCTCATGAGATTAGGGAGACAAAAGTCAAATCAAGGCATGACAAGGGCGGAGACCCGGTAAACCATTCCAAGTTTCATATACACATACCTATCAGGAGTAAGGGTGGACTAGAAATGGCTTCTTTAGAAAGTTTCAAATCTTGAACTTGGACTAAAGTAATCCTGGAAAAAACAAAAACAAAGAACATCTCGAGAGAAAGATTACATCAACCTAGGCATTGAATTATTTCTACAAATATTTTTCATATATAATGTCCAGCACACAATCAATGTTAACTAAGTCTTAATGAGAGACAGAAAACCATAAGCAAGAACCACTAGGAAAAATAAACAACAAAACAGACTCAGACTCCAGATACTGAGTAAATCTCCCTTGAATGTGGGTGTGGTCTTATGATCAAGTTTGGACCAAAGGGATGTTAATAGAATTGATGTGTACTTATCTCCTTAAAGATGAAGCTGTTTGCCTTGATTTTTCCCCCCACCAGCTTGGAAATGGCAATAATTGGGACAATTCCTTGGGCCCTAACAGGGATGCTGAGGATAGCAGAGCTGCCCTGCAGCCCCTGGACTATCCTATATAATAAAAGCCTAATATGCTAATTGTCTGGTCGTCCGGTCATCCATTCAACCAATCAAAGGGTAATATGCTAGTGATATGCTAAGGCCGCTCAACTGCTCACTATGATGTGCACTGACCACCAGGGGGCAGACAGTCAACTGGCTGACCAGTCACTATGACATACACTGACCACCAGTGGGCAGATGCCCCGACCGATAGGTGAGCTTGCTGTGGGGGTCCAGCCAGTCGGGACTGACAGGCCAGACACACCCTGGAGCCATCCCTTAGTCCCTCCCTGGCCCCAGTCATGCACCAGTGGGGTCCCTTGGGCTGGCCTGTGCCCTCTCGCAATCTAGGATTCTTTGGGGGATGTCAGAGAGCCAGTTTCGGCCCAATCCCAGGCCAAAGGACCCCACTGGTGCACGAATTTGTGCACCAGGCCTCTAGTTACATAAAAAAGAGAGAAGCTCCAATCATATATTGGAATATAAACTATTGTACTTTGGGGTTCCTTTGCAACAATTTTGCCTGTAGCCTAACTAATGCACAGAGGTGTTATGGAGTAACACAAAGGTGAGTTGGCAAGGTGGGAGTGAGGAGGAAGCAGTTGTTGCAAGCCTTAATAGCAAGGTCAGGGGTCAGGATTTGAGGGGCTAGGTAAGAGGAAGCAGTGCAGAAGGATCGGGTAGATGGTGGTGACATTGGTGGTAATGGGAAAGCTAACGAAATGGCTTCAGGTACCTTGTGTGATGTTTATAATTCTGTATCTCCAGGCATACCCTTCTCCAGAATTCCAGGGACATATTTCTAAAGGCTGGCCAGAATTTCTCTCTGTAGATCAAGCAAGCCCTCAAACTCAACATTTCAAAACTCAGCTTTCTTCTCCAGAGAGTTTTTTATTTTTATTTTTATTTTTTAAATATATTTTATTGATTTTTTTAGAGAGAGGAATGGAGAGAGACAGAGAGCTAGAAACATTGATGAGAGAGAGAGACATCGATCAGCTGCCTCTCACACACTCCCCACCGGGTATGTGCCCGCAACCAAGGAACATGCCCTTGACTGGAATAGAATCTGGGACCCTTCAGTCCTCAGGCTGACGCTCTATCCACTGAGCCAAACGGGCCGGGGCTCTTTTCTTTTTTCTTGTATTGTCTGTTCTTATTAATAACTGCACACCCTTCAATATAACCCTTCACTCAGTTGTCCTAAACTAGGGTCCCCAAAGATTCTTCCTTCATCGCCACGCCCAATTACTCATAAAGGCCGTCTCCTACCATTCTTTCCATTCATTTCTCTATTCCCATTGCCAGACTTGGCTCACGTCTCCACAATCTCTCATCTCAAATGCTGCATTATGTTCCTTTTTCACTGAGCTCTCTCATTTGTTTTCCTTTGGTTCACATTGCTCTCAAGACACAAACTTGACCAGGTCACTCTGTTTATAAACTTCCTTCCATTTCCTGTAAGCCAAAGAGCTCAAACTCGGTGCTGATCTCGTCCCCTCTGAACCCATATTAAGCCCCTCCATGTGCTGTGGGCCCTGAGCATTCTGGGCCTTGTCCTCTCCTTACTTAGTGAAGTTCTATTCAGCCTTCACAACCATTCCAACATGACCCATTGGGAAATGTTCCCAGAACCTTCTAGCTTAGTTGTTTAGTTATTCCCACCTCAGTCTCTGACAACTGAATGAGTGAATTAAAATACTAATAACTGAATCCCAAAGGACACAGCCAGCAGGAGAGCAGAACATTCCAGAAAGGTAGCATTTTACAACCGAGAAGGGGACTTTGAGATTTTAAAGATCCTCCAGCTGTGTTTGCAGAGGAGGTTCAGAGAAGTTAAATGACTTTTCCAGGATCAGATGGCAGAGCTGGGGTAAAATGGGGTTCCTGGTTCCGTTCCTGGTGCTTTTTCTTACATTTTGCTGTGAAACTATTAAAGAGTGATTTCTAAAGAAGGGCTTGTTGGAAAGGTTGAGGTTAAAGGTTGAAAGGCTGTTTCAGCTGTGGGCCAGGTGGTGGTACTTGAGGGCAGATAAGAAAAGATCAAAATGTCAGCGTAACCTTGTCACAGAGATCATTATCTGAGCTGTGAGCCGTTTTGCCAGAGGGATGGAAAGAAATCCTGTGTACTCACCAGCGTGAGCCCTGACAACGTGATAGTGTTCAGTCCAAGAGCTCAACACTTTTTTTTTTTTAAAGCGCCCACGGGCCCTTTCCGTTTGGCTTTTCAAAATATCGTTTTTGAATACATAAAACATCATAAATAAGAGTACAAAGGAAATCAATTACATGAAAACCTGGTTACCAAGGTATCAAATATAAATGTGTGATACACATACTTCTCTATTTGATCTATTAAATAACAAGATCTAGCAGCAGTCTAATAACTACCATGCTTTTTAAGTGACAATGAATATGAATTATATTTCAAGGTATCAACACTTGTCATGTGATAGGAAAGTATTTGTGATTTCTATTGGTGACAAGGCGGCATAGGTCCTGCTAACATAACCGTAGTTTGATACTTACGTTTGCAATGGCAGGAAACGTTTCTGTTAGAGATCAGTGAAAATGGAGAGGAAATGGTTTTCAAGTTCACTGATTTCCTAAAGCCGGGTTGAGAATCCCTGGCTTAGTTTAATCTCTTTATTTTAATGGTGAGGAATCTTTTATCTGAAATATGTAAAATATTTCAAAGAAAACCGTTGATGGAGTCTATAAAATTGTCATCTCTCAACTCAGCACACTTTCCTCGAGGAACTTGGGCTTAAAAACAAAGAATTAGAAAAGGGAGGTTGCTTTTTTGTGAATATAGGGTACTTCACTATATTCTTGGGTTGTTTTTTTTTTTAATTGACTTCAGAGAGGAAGGGAGAGGGAAAGACAGAAACATCAATGATGAGAGAGAATCATTGATTGGCTGCCTCCTGCATGCCCCCCACTGGGGATCGAGCATGTGCCCTGGCCGGGAGTCAAACCTATGACCTCCTGGTTCATAGTCAATGCTCAAACACTGAGCCATGCCAACCCAGCTTGAGTATATTCTTCTTTTTTTAAAATATATTTTATTGATTTTTTTACAGAGAGGAAGAGAGAGGGATAGAGAGTTAAAAACGTCGATGATTGAGAATCATCGATCAGCTGCCTCTTGCACACCCCCTACCGGAGACATGCCCGCAACCAATGTACATGCCCTTGACCAGAATCGAACCTGGGACCTTTCAGTCCCCAGGCCGACTGAAGATGAGACACCTCACAGATTATTTATTCATTATAATGGAGCGACCTGATAGATAAAACCTTAAGCAAATGATCCAACTTTTCATCACTGATAATGGGACAAACTGACATCAAGTGCCTTGTGATGTGATATCATGGGGTCTGGCTTATCCACTGCTGCATGATAAGCCACTGTAGAATTCAGTGGTTTAAAATAACAATTGAGAGGACCTTACAACTGAATACAAACCAACACATTAACTGAAGAGTTTTTTCAAATAACAATCACATTGGGGAGGCGGCATGAATCCAAGTAATTTGATACCCAGAATTTGGACTGCACGCCCTTAGGCTAAAGCATTCTAATACTAAATATTGAACTACAGTAAGAACGCTTGTTTTGCATAGGCTTGAGTTTGCAAGCCTGAAACTACTTCCTATGCATTCTAGGATTAAGCAAATCAGTAAATAGTGTATAATGGAATCCAGGTTTGTTTGTTTTTTAAAAATATATATTTTATTTATTTTCTTACAGAGAGGAAGGGAGAGGGATAGAGAGTTAGAAACATCGATGAGAGACAAACATCAACCATCTGCCTCTTGCACACCCCGCACTGGGGATGTGCCCACAACCAAGGCACATGCTCCCGACCGGAATCGAACCTGGGACCCCTCCGTCCAAAGGCCGATGCTCTATCCACTGAGCCAAACCGGTTAGGGCTCATCTTCTTTCTTTAGTGACTCTTGCTACATGAACTTAAGCCCACCATAGCAACAACAATAGAAGAACCCTGCTTCCGAGGTTCAAAAAAAATATATTTTATTGATTTTTTTCAGAGTTACATTTTCTCCATTGAAGTACCTGCCTTAATGCCACAAGAATACAGAGAGAAAGTGAGCACTTATTGGCTGATTACCCAGCGGGTGGGCTCCACAGATGATAGGCAAGCTGGAAACCCAGCTGTGATGAAAACACTTGCTTCTATTTGTAGTTTAACAGCATCTTTGCTTGAAACAGAATGCTGCAAACTCTGTAGGTTTGCCAACTCGTGATTCTGATCTTCAACTCATGGGATTTGGAAAAAGAAAAAAGCAAAGAGCAGTTTTTTTCTTTTAAGCTTTTCGGATGAAGTTAGGATCCGGTGCCCACTGAGAAAGAAATCTACTAAGGACACTGCTTCTCAATTTCACAGTAATGTGATTGTTTCATAGTTAGGATGAATGTCCCACTGTATAAAACTAGTCAGGTCTAAACTGAGATCTGCCCCAGTGCCTACCGCAGCCTCACGGCCCACAGTTCCTTTCAAGGTGCACGAATTCGTGCACTGGGCCCCTAGTAGTTTAATAAACACTAGGCTGGATGAACCCTGAGGATTCTATGATATACCATATTTTTCGGACCATAAGACGCTCCGGACCATAAGACGCACCAGTTTTTAGAGAAGGGAAATGAAGAAAAAAAGATTCTGAAACAAATAGTGTCCTAAAATATTTTATGTGCATTAAAACCCAACATCACGGTCATAAACACATGTAATCAACCCTGTAAAGTAAACAGCAGCATTTAGAACCATTTTAGAGCCGGGCAAGCACACAGAGACCACACAGAGCTAGGCAAGTAAAAAAACTTTTTTTTTAAAGTATATGTGTAGGCTATATTTGGGCCATAAGACGCAGGGACTTTTTCCCCCGACTTCTGGGGGGAAAAAAGTGCGTCTTATGGTCCGAAAAATACGGTACGTGGGGATCATATAAATAACTACAGTATGGCTATAGCTGGTTTGGTTTAGATTGTCTTCTTGGTTTCCATGTCTTTTAAATTCTGCTTTCATGATATCCAATAAAGTCATAGTCCCCTTATATCCCAAGCTTATAGATGTTCTAGGATAAATGTCACATAGCAGGGGCCTAAGTCTGTACATGCATGGAAAAAAAGAAAAGATCAAATGGGATTCCCATTCTTTTTTTTTTAATATATTTTTTATTGATATTTTATAGAGAAGAGGAAGGGAGAGAGATAGAGAGCTAGAAATGTCCATGAGAGAGAAACATCGACCACCTGCCTCTTGCACACCCCCTACCGGGGATGTGCCCGCAGCCAATATTCATGCCCTTGACCAGAATCGAACCTGGGACCTTTCAGTCCACAGGCCGACGCTCTACCACTGAGCCAAACCGGTTTCGGCGGGATTCCCATTCATTCCTCACATATTTATAGTAGCCTGCCCACTCTTCCTGTCCTATGCCAGTCTCATCCTAGGCAGTGAACCACAGATGTTAATAAAACAGCTCTAGCTTCCAGGGCTCACAGGCTAGAGGGAAAGAGAAGGATACACAATGAATTCTAAAACTCAGGGTGGGTGGCAGGCACAGATAGAGAGAAATATGCGCTGGGTTTGTTCTCATCCTCTTTATAAGGCATTGTCAGTGCTTTTTGCAGTTTTAATGACTTTATTTGACCATCAGCAGTTAGTTCTCATCCACACAAACTGTTAGTAGATTTTTGAAAGTGGTGACAGGTACGTAGGTGACCAACACATAGAGCTCGTTCGGTGACTCTTCCTCTTCAGTACATTTTCTGAACAACTGCACCTGGATATGGTGTGGGGCATCCCTATTCCTTTGGCCCAGACAGCTTTGTTGAGCTTGGTATCAATGCCCATGTCGAGAGTTCCTAACTTCTCTATGGCAAATGTTGGGATCTTTTTTGACCACCCGCTTCTTGAAACCCATTCTATGGATGCGCTTGTGAATGATCATGGTGTGTTAGCTGGTCACTACCTCATTGATGGCAGAATGGCCCACTTCTGTATCACCACCCTCCTTTGAGGGAGCCTTTATGCCAGGCCCGGATTGGAAAGAAAGGGGTGTCCTCAGTTTGTTCACAATTTAGGCACAACAAAATATTATTCACAGGAGCGGACCCTTCCCCCTCCGCACGTGGGAGTCTATGCTGTGAGAGATTTTACATCTGTCAAAGAAGAACCTTCGTTGGATATAAAACAATATATCCTGACAGATGGTGCTCCAGCTGTGAGGTCAAGATTTTGGATCTGTTGAAATGTTAAAAACAAGAGACTGATGTTTTTCTGGCGACTTCGTGCCGCTTGTGACACACACTGAAAACATTTGTGCTCCCTTTTCTGAAAGGTATCATGGAAATGATGGCTAAAACTGGTCAGTGTATATATACACATTTTATGACTCATCACCAATTTATGGAACTGTTGAAAGCAGTAGTCAGTGAATGTAATGATCTTTCGTTTATTGCCAAACAAAAAGCTTTACAAAGTTGGACTATGCTGTGAATAATAACAAAAGGAGTGCTTGCCAAATACCCATTAATTTAAAAAGCTGGTAATGTGATTTACCTTTTCTTAAGGATAGAACACTGCATATGAAAAAGATAGATGTGAGCTATACAGAAAGGAAAAGCATATTTATGATTTAGCTAGACAGGCATAAGAGTTTATGTTGAAATTGAAACATTGCATGATTTTAATCAATAATATTGAGCCCTAACTGGTTTGACTCAGTGGATGGAGTGTCAGCCTGCGGACTGAAGGGTCCCAGGTTTGATTCTGGTCAGGGGTATACACCTTGGTTGTGGGCACATCCCCAGTAGGGGGTGTGCAGGAGGCAGCTGACTGATGTTTCTAACTATCCCTCTCCTTTCCTCTCTGTAAAAAATAAATAAAATATATTTTTAAAAATCAATAATATTGGCCGATGGCCGGTTTGACTCAATGGATAGAGCGTCGGCTTGGGGACTGAAAGGTTCCGGGTTCAATTCCGGTCAAGGGCATGTACCTTGGTTACGGGCATATCCCTAGTAGGGGGTGTGCAAGAGGCAGCTGACTGATGACTCTCATCGATGTTTCTAACTCTGTATCTCTCTCCCTTCCTCTCTGTACAAAATCAATAAAATATATTTTAAAAAAATAAAATAAAATCAATAATATTGATTTTATACATTTTTCTAACATGAAACAATATGCAGAAAACTAATTATAATAGATGGCATTAGGTATATTGGCTGTAAATATTGTAAGTAAACTTTGAAGAATGCTTTGTTTATAGTGATCAATCTAGAAATGCTTTTCAAATAAGACAATGCTTCTTTGAATTAACATTAAGAATACTGAGTTGACTAAATTAGTGAATTTAACTTGTACAGATGTGGTTTTGAAACTGACCTGTTTTGCTTCAAAGTCAAATCAATTCTTTTATTTTTTATTTGTTTATTTTTTAAATCTAGTTCTTTTTTTATATTTTTATTGATTTCATAGAGGAAGGAGAGAGAGAGAGAGAGAGAGAGAGAGAGAGAGAGAGAGAGAGAGAGAGAGAGAAACATCAATGATGAGAGAGAATCATTGATTGGCTGCCTCCTGCTCACCTCGTACTGGGGATGTGCCCGCAACCAAGGTACATGCCCTTGACCGGAATCGAACCTGGGACCTTTCAGTCCACAGGCTGACGCTCTATCCACTGAGTTAAACCGGTCAGGGCTTTTATTTCATTTTTTAATGTGGCTACTAGAAAATTTAAAATTGTTTATATGGCTCTATTGGACATCAGTGCTCTGCATTATGTCACATAGGAGTACTTATTTGAGAATATTCCAGTACAACGAGGAAAGAGCATGGAGTAATCCTTTTATTATTTGATAAAAAAAAATCTTAATCCCAAATTTTGGGTAATTTTCTTAACATCACTGGGTAGGGAAAAACCATGGTGTGAATGAGCCTTGCAGAAACTTAGCAGGGGTAGATCCTGTGTCTTTGGAGGATTCATTGGAGCTGCGTGAGAAAAAGAAGGCTCAGGTCAGCTTGCGAAAAGTGTTGAAGCCAGACAGAGCATTTGAACTTCCTCCTGTAGGCAATTGGCACTGAAGAGCTGTAGCAGGGGAGTTGTTATGTCATTAGAACTGTATTCTGGAAAGATGACTGTCGAAGCCCGTGGGGCATGAACTGCAGGGAGCCACTTATTACTGTGGAGGACAGAACGAATAAAGGCCCAAATGGAGGTAGTAGAAGAGGGCTTCCGGGAAATGACCAAATGCATTTAAGAAAGATTTGCTGAGCAGGCAGAAGTCTGAATTGAGCCGAAACCGGTGTTGCTCAGTGGATAGAGCGTCGGCTTGCGGACTGAAAGGTCCCAGGTTTGATTCGGGTCGAGGGCATGTACCTTGGTTGCTGGCACATCCCCAGTAGGGGGTGTGCAGGAGGCAGCTGATGGATGTTTCTCTCTCATCTATGTTTCTAACTCTCTATCCCTCTCTCTTACTAATTGTACAACAATGGAACATTCTTTAGCTTTATTTTTTCCCGTTTGGCAGGCATCTTGCATTGCAGTACATGTTTCTTTTTTGCACAAGCATATTAATGGGAAGTTTCAAAATTATTTTTCATTAATTGCAAACAGCTGAAGTTCAATAACCCGATGTTTTATAAGGAAGCACGTTTAAAATAACATACATTTGCCTGGCCGGTGTGGCTCAGTGGTTGAGCATTGACCTATGAACCAGGAGGTTGCGGGCTCGATCCCCAGTGTGGGGGGTGCAGGAGGCAGCCGATCAATGATTCTTTCTCATTATTGATGTTTCTATCTCTCTCTCCCTCTCCCTTATTCTCTGAAATTATTAAAAATATATTTAAAAAAATAACATACATTCATTTTCACTTATGGAGCTTTTATGTCAATAGGTATAGTCAGATTAAAATATATCTACCTATCTATTTCAGACAAAAATGAGAAAACTACATACTTGTAAATAATTTAGAAAAAAATGGTGATTTAAGATTATTATTTTTTAATATATTTTATTGATTTTTTTTTTTTTTTTTACAGAGAGGAAGAGAGAGGGATAGAGAGTTAGAAACATCAATGAGAGAG